CGGGAAAATCCATGGGAACCCACTTAAAAAAGCTGCAAAAACTAGGAAACCCACAGGGGTTCCCATGGGAATCTACAAGACAGCTAAGTGAAGAACATACACAGACCACTCGAGATGCTGCAAAAAACCAGAAACCCACATGTAGCCCACCTGAAGTGTTGCAAAAAAAGGCAACCCACAGAGAATCTACCGTCGATATGTTCAAAACCATTGGAACCCACTTAAAAATGCTGCAAGTGGCAGCGAAACCCAGAAAGCCCACCGTCCATGCAACAAACCATGGGAATCTACAAGAAAGCTAAATGAAGAAAAGACACAGACCCACTCGAAATGCTGCAAAAAACAGAGAACTCATATGTAGCCCACCTGAAGTGCTGCAAAAAACAAGGGAACCCACGGCGAACCCACCCAGGTCGAAGCTGAGCGTAGTTTTTTACGTATAGTAACGCGCAGCATGGGAAATCTGGATCCGAAATTGCCTGCTGCAGAAAGCAGGCAGACTCTGCTGATCAGTCGCAATTTGATTTGAGATTGAATGCAGAGTGTGAGGACAGACGAGGGAGCTTGAACGAGCCCAGAGGTGGCAGGCAAATGATTTTACCCCAGGACAAAGCCGTTGGTGTGCCAACTGACTTGGATGGCAGAACTCATTGCCGATGGCAAATCCACTCTGCAGAATTATCGCTTTTAGTGCCGGGTTTTTTGGGCGTATGCGGGCCTCGTCGACTACACGCTGCAGCACTCGGTCCCTGTAAGAAAGAGCAACTAACAAGAAATGAATAAGCTGTAGAGCTGCAACATACGTACTTACTCGGCAAAATCGTTCAGCTCTAATTTCAGTGGCCCTGCTTCCTGTAAGACATGGGTCGCGCAATGGCCACCATCATCAAAATTGTCAAGTTGGTCAAGAGCAAAAGGTGAGTTGCCATGTGCCCAGCTTCCATTCGAAAGCCAGTGTCATCGCTTTTAGTGCCGAGCTCAAAGCCCGTAAAACATTTGTGCGCTGCCTCAGACAAGACTTCTACACTGCTGAACCGCTCATACTCAACCGAACACGAAGAACCTGCCACGCAACAGTTCGGGTCACAGCTCTTACCCCATGCTTCGCGGGACTCGCGCCAAGCTCACTGAACGCTGATCACTCTAAGAGTTGGACTTAATGCGCGTTAAAACATTGCGCCTTCGTGTGAGAAACAACAAGAGTTTTATTTCTGCGATTCAGAAAGCTGCCGGCAAGTTCAAACATCTAGATTCGATGGCGGATTCATGCCTGCGAAGTCGTTTTTGCTCTGCTTTCAGGATCTTAGTGACTCTGCGCGCTTCTACCTGCTTTGGACGAAAGAGAATCAAAACATCTTGTAGACAGGCAAACATACCACACCTTCTTGACGCTTCTGTCGCAGGCGGGCCAGACGGACGGAGTCTTTTCGCATCAGAAAGACGAGGAAGTTTATTTACAAAGGACGTTCCACACTTCTGAGAAGCTGGAACATTTATCGGCACTTGGATCATGCTGCTTTGCAGTCTGCAAGTCGCGGTTTCACCTTACATGATTCTCTTATTGTATTCTTGCAGTTCGAACGAAGGCGGCCACTTTCCTCCAGCTGCTAGCACGAATCCGCGCGGTCATAGCGCCTGCTCGCCGAAAACCACCGCGGCACATTTCCTCCTCTACAGCAACTTAGGTTGCGCAATGGCACACAATATATCCATACCAGTCTCTCGATTTAGTCCAGTTTCCCAAAGAGGCCGTCTCGCATCTGCTCCATCTTTGATAGTTTGTCTGCTGCTGCCTGCAAAAAAGTCGCGCTTACAAGTCATTCCAACTGCTTCTCAATTGAAGTTGACTTTCAGCTCTTGGAAAAGAAAACACATGCAATGTATAGATAAATATACACACATTCACACATATGTACATACAAATTTACATGCATATATACATACACATATATTGAAATCTATATATATATATACATATATATACATATATATTTATGCATATATACATATATCTACATATATTTACATATATCTACATATATCTACATATATCTACATATATCTACATATATCTACATATATCTACATAAATCTACATATTTTCATGTTTCCATATCTCTCTTTATATACAATACACACATATACGTATATACATAAATACATACATACATTTCTACATATAAATACATTTATACATATATACATCTTCATACATTTGTACATATATACATCTTCATACACATATACATATATACATATATACATATATACATATACACATATATACATATATACATATATACATATATACATGATATACAGACATACATATATACATATATACATATATACATATATACATACATATATACATATATACATATACCATATATACATATATACATATATACATATATACATATATACATATATACATATATACATATATACATATATACATATATACATATATACATATATACATATATACATATATACATATATACATATATACATATATACATATATATATACATATATACATATATACAGATATACATATATACATATATACATAAGTACATAAATACATATATACATCTTCATACACATATACACATATACATATATACATATATACATATATACATATATACATATATACATAGATACATATATACATATATACATATATACATTTATACATTTATACATATATACATATATACACATATACATATATACATATATACATAGATACATATATACATATTTACATATTTACATATTTACATATATACATATATACATATATGCATATATACATATGTAAATATATTTATGTATACATATATACGTAGATTCCTAGATACCTACATACATATCTGCATATGTACATATATACATATATGCATATATACATAGATACCTAGATACATAGATACATAGATACATAGATACATATCTACATAGATACCTAGATACCTAGATACATATCTACATATATACATAAATACATGTATACATGTACATATACATGTATACATACATACTATGTATATACATGTACGTGAACATACATATATACATATACACATGTTTACATGCTTACATGTATACATATTCACATATATTCTTTTATACATGTACACATTTTTACATTTATACATATCTATATATATATATATATATGGTACCCCCCCCAGGACCTACCTCCAAACCCGTCTGTCCACATATGATACCACACTTCATTACCCATGCACACACATACACACACACACACACACACGCACACACACATGCAACATGGAAAAGGGTCTCCGAAGATTCGTGTCTACGAACATGACTATACCAGAGGCCCGGCTGCATTAAAAACCGCATTAAAAAATTGAATTTGAATGCAGCTCGGCCCGTGGAACCAAGAACCAAGCACCAAGAATCCCAGGAGTCTTGCATCCTGTATCTTGGTTCCACGGGCACCGGCCGGGCTGCATTAAAACCCGCATTAAAAAAATAGTTTTTAATGCAACCCGGCCCGTGGAACCAAGAACCAAGAACCAAGATTCCCAGGAGTCTTGAATCCTGAATCTTGGTTCCACGGGCACCGGCCGGGTTGCATTAAAATCTGCATTAAAAAGTTAAAATTTAATGCACCCTGGCCCGTGGAACCAAGAACCAAGATGCCCAGGAGTCTTGATTCTTGGATCTTGGTTCCGCGGGCAGTTGTCGACCTGCATGAAATCTGCATAAAAACTAAATTTTAATGCACCCAGGCCCGTGGAACCAAGATTCAGGATTCAAGACTCCTGGGCATCTTGGTTCTTGGTTCTTGGTTCCATGGGCCGGGCTGCATTAAAATTTAATTTTTTAATGCAAATTTTAATGCAACCCGGCCGGTGCCCGTGGAACCAAGATTCAGGATTCAAGACTCCTGGGAATCTTGGTTCTTGGTTCTTGGTTCCACGGGCCTGGCTGCATTAAAATTTAATGTTTTAATGCAAATTTTAATGCAACCCGGCCGGTGCCCGTGGAACCAAGATTCAGGATTCAAGACTCCTGGGAATCTTGGTTCTTGTTTCCACGGGCCGGGCTGCATTAAAATTTAATTTTTTAATGCGCGTTTCAATGCAGCCAGGTCGCTGGAAACCATATAAATATTCACGAAACGTATGGGTTTGCCATTTTATGTGCCACATGGCCACTCCTGCAGTGAAGATTAGCGAACGGATTGCTATGCTTGACAGTTTGATCGCATGACAACAAATGTGTGATGACCCAAGCTGCATCTAATCAAAATCAAGTGATCTTGTACTTCCAGTTCCAGTCCTGTCCTTGTGAGCATAAATACAATAAATATTGTACAGACAGGTTTAAATATGGAACATCAGTCGGAGCCGAATATTTGCGATGTCCAGCTGAGTTATAGCTTATTGAGTAACGGGTTCCCATGGTGGACATCAGGAACCTACTTGTAAACAAATATCCCTCAAAATCCACTATAGAATACCTATCCCTTCCAGGATTTCATAGAAAATACTCAGGTCGTACCGTATAGAGTTTATAAAGTATATACTCTGTATAATATACTTTATGGAATACCCTGTATCTCATGAAACACCCTATACAAATCTGTCCTATATATACACCCTATAGAATACTTTTTATACGTTACAGTTTGGGATACCGTATAAATACCCTATAGACTGCCACATAGAATACCTTGCTTATCTTGGTAGCCTTGTATAGCCGTGTAGGCGTAGAGTTTCCTGTTACCCGTAGCACGGGCTCAAGGGTAAATGAGGCCCCTACTGAGTGTGCTGCTCTATTGCAGCCAAATTCATAGCACACTACCGTGGCAATGGCCATGGTCTACCAACCATAGCCTACCTGAAACTCCCCAAACGTGTGCACACCAGGATGGCACCTGTGGCGCGACTTCGCGCCCGGGTAACGCCAGCTGGTGGAGCGAATGGTGGAAATTGTGGGTTAAAATATCCACAATGGACCCCGCCGTGGATTCCGGAGAGGAAGGGTCGCGAGAAGATGATCCCTCGCCCCCTTGGTTCCTCCGAGTCGCGATGAAATTCTTGCTCATGTTTGTAAAAGGGGGAATCGAGTACTGTGGAATACTATGTGTCTCCATAGGCCTGGCGGCCAAATGGGTCTACTGGCTTATGGCGGGCATGGTATTGGTGGCCCTCGCGCAGCTTGCCTACTGGACCTATGTTTGGGTCCTTCGGCCGCTGACGAGGTTCGCCTACGTCTTGGCTCAGTACCTCGTGGGCCGCGCCCCGTGGGATGAGGTTTTGACCCATCACGGCCGCACGCCGTTCCGACTGGTGTGGTACGGCCCCACGGGACAGGTGGCTTGGACCGCCCAGTACATCCAAGACAAAGTCCGAGGCAGGGGAACCTGCCAAGCCCCTTTCGACTTGTTGGTCACGGACGGGACTGCACTTGCCCGCTTGCGGCACGGCACCATCCGCGGGCGTACAAATCGGCACGGGTTTACTTGCCCCTGTGACACAGTGCATGGGAGCTCACACCGCTACTGGCGGCACTCTTTGGAGGGAGCGAATTGCCGGGTGCACCTCTGCTCCCAATCACCTTGCACAGCACCGGAAGCGGCGGAGGTGCATGTCACTTCAAGCTCCGTTGTGCCTCGGGAGGTAGAGCTGGACCTCACCGAGCTAGCAGGAAAAGGGCCCTTCGGTAGGTGCCTTACGGCTACGTGGCTCCTCAGCGCCCAGGGATACTACCTCTGGAAGTCGCTGGGTGGCTGCATTTGCTCCTGCCGGCGCCGGTGTTGTCAGTTTTGTGGCTGTGGCTCACGCCCGCGGCGCGGTCCGCGCCCGGGGGGAGAGAACGGCCCCGAGCCCTCCCGCCTCCTGCACGAGTGGTCGGAGACCGAGAGTGAAGGCGACGACCACGCACAAGCGTGCCAAGCCGACCAGCTTGCGTGGGAGGAAGGGGGCAAAACGCACGCGTTGTGCAAAGAGCCTTGCAAGGATCTGGCCCTCGGGGACAGTATCCAGATCTTGCCAGCGGACCTGCGCGTGAGCGATAAGGCTGGGTTACAGGAAGAAGACGGCAGCTGCTACGCCCGGCTATGCCCCAGGCACTCCGCTCAATATGGGCATGCGAGCGCGCGACGCAAGTGCGCAGTGGAAGGCTGCGTGGAACTGAGCCGGACCACCAAAGGTGGGGTAAGGCTGTGCAAGCTCCACGGGGCTAAGGAGGAACGCAAACCCCCAACTAGCTCGCACCCAAAACGACCTCCAGAGCTTGAAAAACCGGCCTCGCGGCGTGCTACCACGCCCGGGGATGCGAGGGCTCACCTAGGAACTCCCAGACTAAGCCTCGCAGTACCTCAACTCCACCTGGGGTAGGACGAGCACAGGGAGAGACAGAGCCGCAGCTGCTTAGCCTCACTTGGGACGAGGTCGCGAAGCTTCCATCTTCTCAAGCCCCAGGCTCTTCAGCTCGCTCTCCGGGAAAGTGCGCCCTTCCCACTGCATGACCTGGACAAGGGCCATGGAGCCCTTCAACGCCACCAGGCGACAGTCCAAGCCGCACAGCTCGAACGCGGCGCCAAGGTCATCTACCTCGAAGCACTGCGGGGACAGCACGCCGCCCCTGATGAGCACACCGTCCACGAAGCGGTCGACCCTGCCTGATCCCGCGATGCGACTGAAGGCAATTCGCGTTAAGACGGGAGCGGGGCGAGACTCCGAAGAGAGACTCGACCCACCCGGGGACGCAAACCTCAAAGCTGAGGCCCTTGGCAAGCTGGTGCGCAACGTAGCGTTGGGACAACCAGCGGCGAAGGCTTACTCTGCAGCCTGCCAGGAGTATGGGCTGGACCCGTACACGCAGCCACTGCAAGGGGCTGCTCGGGAGTACTTACCTCGGCTCCCTATTCAATACCCACGGCTTGCCCGAAAGGTCCTTGAGGAATTGAGGAAATCGCCGAGCAGGGACAGCCGCAGGAGCACGACCCTGTGCTCGGGGCGTTTCACGCTTACTTGCACGGGACCGACGGGAGCGGAGGGACTGAGTTTTCAGCTGGGGCTCCTCCCTTCGTTAGCGGGGAGCAGCGTCACCCCGCCCTTGCTTTATATGCGGCTCGATCCGAGCCCGGTACTCCTGCTCCACCTATTGAAGCCGGACAGAGCGCTCCCCCCGCAGAACGAACTCCCTTTGCAGCTGCCAGCCTTTTCCGGCCACGGGAAGAGGGCCCCGGTGCGCAGGGGAATCCTCCCCCGGCGGGGCCCCTCATGCAAGCAAGCACGTTGCCAGGGGGGTATCAGGTTCTCGCCAACGCCGTGCGGCCTTTCCATGCGGGAGCATACACTGATGCCGAACCCCCCAGGCTTGACGAGTCGGCGAAGGCTTTGCAAGCCATTGCCCGCTCACTTGTCAAAGACGACCAAGGGCAGGAGAAGGGGAAACTGTCGGCCATCGGGCGGCAAGAGGAGCGACTTGTCTTTCTCCTGCGGGGCTGCGACAGCTTGGACGTGCCACTTGCCGCAGGTGTGGTGGGCAAAGAGCTTTTCCACAGTTTGCGGGCCGCGGCTACCCAAGCCAGGCCAAAATTACGGCAACTTAGGTTTCCGGTCAACTTGACCAACCGCCTGTGCTACGCATTGGCGTCGGCAAGCTTCGGAGCCAAGGACGTTAAATCTTTGCCGTTACATTGTGGGTCTGCCGCAGATTTTCCGCAGACTGAAGAGGCAGATTTCGACGCCTACTCAAGCCCGCCGGATCTTAAACTTGAAGCGCGGCCACAGGGACCCACGACGGTCAGCACGTGGTTGAGAAACGCTTTGAGGCAAGCATGGGGCCTGGCTTGTGTCTACGGACAACAACATTATGCCGTCTGGGAAGCTGCAGCTCTCCACCTGACTAAGCTGGGCGAGGAGCACAGTTACGCTTGGTCCCCCTGCAGGAGAGAACGAGGCCCCACCTTTGTACGATGTGGACATGCAGCCGGCCGACGATGATGATCCCATGGAGGTGGCGATCAGCTGGCTGGAGGACCATGCTTTGTACTCCATGTGTTCTAGACCTGAGGTTGTGTTAGGTACTGGGATAGAGGCTAGTTCAGGCGAGGTCTCCTCAACCTGTTCTGTAGGAACGCGATCCTGTGGATCCGGCTTTGCTGAAGGCGAGTTCTCCTCAGCCTGTGCGGTAGAGCTTGAGGCCCTCAGACCTGAACCTGCTGCTGGTGAGGACTCCTCACCGGCGCATGTTATTTTTGATGTGTGGGAAGAGCTCTGGGCCCGCTTCTTCGAAGAACTCCGCGAAGTTGACCGTGACCTGCGACGTTTGATGCGAGAGGAGTCCCCGACTTTCGACCGCATGAAATTTGTTGCTACTGCCCCCAATGCCGAAGGGCGGCCCTGGCTGCGGCTTCCGGGAACCTTCCGGCTGGAGGACCCGCGTGAATACTTCACGACCGATGTGCTGGACAGACTCCAACGCCAATTGTCGCGGGCAGCTTGGGCTCAAGCCCTTCGGGGGCCAGCGCGAACCGGCCTCCCGGGAGGAGGCGGCAGGGCTGGAGACGCTTCGGCGGACGGGCAAGCCGGACACCCGGGGAAGGTAGATGACCCGCCCACGCGTGCCGGTGGGGCCGCGAGTAAAGGCGGGGGGCCTCCCCCTGCCCTCATCGGCCCGGGACTAACCCCGAAGGAAACCGCCCGCGCACTTGAACACAGACCCAGGGATGCTGAAGGGCACTTCCAGTGCTGGGATTTCTTCACCCATCGGGGGTGCAAAAAACCAGACTGCAGCCTGTCGCACAAAGGGTCGGTCAAGTGGAAGGCTCTCGACTACTCCATTAAACTGCAGCTCCTCCGTAGGGGGGGTTTGCGGAGTTCCGCCAAGCGGTCCCCCGACGAGCTCGTCAAGCAAATGACGGGCCTGCGCAGCCTGGAAGCCCAGGAGCAGGCCGCCAAGGTCCAGGAAGGCGGGGGCAAGCGCAGGCCGGGTCGGAAAGCCAATAGGGCCGGGGATGCGACGCGAGCTACCCCGCTGAGTCAGCGCCCGAACCCACCCCGGGAACTCGGGCGGGCGAACTCGGCGCTGAACCTCAGCTTCCCGAGGCTCGTACCGAGCCCGGGCAGAGCAACCAGGCTCTCCCTCCCGAACCCCCCGTAGAGCTCCGAGACGGGGGATACACCCTTCAAGAAGAAGGCCTACGCAAGCTCGTGCAGGGCGCCGACTACAGTTGGTATCAAGATCAGGATCACGGCCAAGGCAAGGCCACCGCCGCAGACCTGCCTGCCGGGTATGAATCCCCCGGGCTTGACCTTCAGGAGCGGACCCGTGCAATGCGGGCGGTTGAAGCTTTACTCGCTTCACAGGACCCACCCCTTTCTGCAATGCCAGACCTGCTCACCGTGTTCGTTCGGAACTACCTGCTCCACCACGATTCGCCCGCTTCCCCGCAGGAGCGGTTGCAGGCCTGCTTCCAGGTCGCAGCTACTCTCGGCGGTCCGGAGTTGGCCTCGCAGGCGGCTGAGTACCTCGACTCCACCCAACGCCTCTTCCGTGCTGGTTCTGTCACTGCAGCTGCTACTGCAGGGCGCATCAGCTGGGATGGGGACATTGGATACGGGACCTTCGAGTACAATGGAGCTCACTGGCGCCAATTTGATTATCAGGATCGGCTTCCCCTCAGTCCAGAAATGCAAGCTCTTCTAGGGCGCAATGAGACTGAAGAGCCCAAGCAGTGTATGCTGCTCCACGTTGCCGCTGGTGTCCTTTCCACCGAAGGAGAGCTCCCTACGCTGGCCGCCGCCCAGCTTTTGGGCCAAGCAGCACGAGAAGCCATGTACCACTCAGCGCGGGAGGTTGAAGCACAGTTGGGGCCGCCCCCTGAGTACCTCACCCGAGCTGAGGCCGACTTCCGAGTGTTTAACCATGACCTTTTGCACTTCGGCCACGATCGGGACTACCGAACCCTCGTCGCATACCCGCAGCCGGCCTGGGAGCATTTGACCTTCGGCGTCTGGCGAGTGGAGCCGCACGGCAGCGCACTTGTCGAATACCTGGTCGGTAGCCGCTCTGGCCCTGGTGGGCCTGTGGTCTGGTTACTCGTGCACAAAGGGCATGCGGCTCCTTCTCCCTCCCGCCTCTGTCGCACATCCGTTTGGGCGGGAGCTCTTAATGGTTGGGTGGGAGCCCCACCTTGAGGCTGCCAAGCCTGCCGAGGCCTGCCTTCCGGCCCGGCGTGTTTTGGCTTGTCCAGTCTGCCGGTCCGATGCCCCTGCGCGTGCGTTCCACTCTGGTTTCGTTCCGCCGACTTTTGGGTTGCAACCACTGCGACGCGGCGGCGTTTCCCCCGAGGCCTGTTTCAAGCCCGGGGCGCCTGTCGCTCCTCAGAGGTTCGCCCCGTCCGACCTTGAGCGCCTGTTCGGATGTGAGTCGCTGGCAGGCCACTCGGCCGTCGCTATCGGCTGTCCGGGCCCGATCGTTGGCGCTGTCGCCATCGGCGACCCGTGCTGGGCTTTCGCTGCGGAGCCCAGCGCACGGGCAGCTCTCTTGCAGCTCCTTGACAGCTTCGAGGGCGACCGTGTCCTCCTCTGGGTGGGACCAGAGCTGGTTATGCCGGCCGGCCCATTTCATGCTTTTCTCGAGTTCCTCGGAGTATTACAGGCTCACATCGCAGCTCGCGGTCAAGCCGGGGCCCTCGCTGGCCCGGTCACTCACCGCTTTTGGACCCACAAGACCTTTGTCCTTCTCTCCTGCGAGCGGGCATGGGCTCGTGCGCGCGTCGACAGCTGCGCCCTTCCCCCGGGCGGGGGCGGCTGTCTCTCGTGGTTGATCCGGGGATGGCCGGCGAGTGCCTGGACCGGCGTCTCTCGCCTTTGCCGCGGCGGCCACACCCATTTTGGGGATTGCCGCGCCGCGTCCGCTCTCTGGGATTTTCTGCTCGCTTTTCCTCTCGAACTGCGGGCCTCTTCGGCTCGGGATGGGGGGGGGGGGGAGCAGTGCGCCCTGCCTCTCCGCCCCCCCACGGTCTTGGACAGTGCGGAGACAGCTGAGGCAGGGACCCAGCAAGGTCCGACATGCCCCCGAGCCCCTCAGGGTCCATCTGGACAGGCTGTGCTTGAAGGCACCCGGGACCGTGGCGGGTTTCCCGCCCGGTCGGGTGCGGTTAAGAAAACCGAAACCCTCGAGTTATGGCCAGAAGGATCACCCCTGGCCGAGCCGCCTTCGGCAGACTTGGGAGCTGCTATCGGAGCCTACTTAGATCTCGTCGCGGGAGCCCCTTATGATCCGAAGAGGTTTGCGGAAGCAGCGCGCCTCGGCACCAAAGCCCGCGCGGCTGCCCCGTCGTTTCCAGAAGCCTTGAGGGCCCTGCGCAGAGAATGGACCTTACGTCAAGGCGACCATTTCAAGGGTCTCTTCGAGGCAGCCCTGGACGAGTTGCTCCCTTCAGACCTGCTTCACTGGCTTAGACACACGGCCACCCAGGGAGTTGACGCCCGCTACGAAGGGGATCGCCAGCGCGTGAGAGCCACGCCGCACCCGTCTCTGCAGGGGCACCTCACCGAGGCGTTCGAGCAGATCTGGAAGGATGTAAGTAAAGGGAGGGTTCTCCTACTTACGTGCCCTGGCGACGCTACTCTTCTTGAAGGGGTGATCTCCGTTCCTTTGGCGCGTGTCCCCAAAATGCTGCCTAACAGGACTGTGTCCGCGAAAGGACGGCTAATATGGGACGCCAGACGTGTAAATGAACACTGCAGCAAACACCGGTATTTCCCGGCGCTGCAGCCGAGACACTCCGAGATAGCAAGGTTGATCCTCTGGTGGCAGACTCGCTTCCCTCACATCCCAATCTATTTGGCCAAGAAGGATGTCAGTGACGCCTTTAAGTGGTTATGGATTCAAAGTGAGGATGGGCCGCTCTTTGGCGCTGATCTGCCCGGGACTGAGCTTGGGCTTCCGGAAGGAGTCACCGCGGTATATACTGCGATGACCTTCGGTTGGACCGGAGCCCCGGGATCGTTTATGGGATTCGCCTGGGGAGTCAAGCTCTTGCATAGCTCGCATACCCCAACCCAGCCGCTTTGGCACGACACTACTGCTTTCAAATCGCTGATGCTAATGGACGACGCCGTCGTCATTGAACCAGCGTTGGGCCTCCGGCCTTGGCAGTCCCTGCGTACGGCCGAAGCAGCGGCGCGCAAGATCTTAGGCCCCGAAGCTATCAAGACCTCGAGGAGGGTACGCTCACGTTTGACAAGGTGATCTGGGGTCTCTCCTACGATACCCGTGATAATACTGTCTCCCTTCCCGGGCCGAAGCTCGAAAAAGCAGGCCACTTGCTCCTCCTCCCTGACTTCGATCGAGGAAACACTCACCTTGCCCTGCGCTTGGTGCAGGAATTGCGTGGTAACTTGGAGTTCTGGGCAGCTGTCCTTCCCACTGTCAACCCCTACCTGCACTCCATCAATGCGCTCCTCAAACCCCCGGACGAGCAGGGCCGAGCTAACCCACAGGGCGACCCTTCTGAAGTGGCAGCCCAGTGGGACAGCTTCTGGGATACTCTCGACCTTTTGAGGCTGCTGGCGCAGGACCGAGCTTCCTGGTCAACCCGCTTCTCCAACCCTCTGTTTGCTGCCCTGGATACCAATGAGATACTGGCGTTGCCAGGGGTTAGCTCAAAGGTAATCTGGGTCACCGCTGACGCGACCCCCACTCATGTGGGAGCGGTCGACTGGTCAAGTAAGATCGCTGTGGCGCAGACAGTGGGGCAGTTCCTGGCTGCCGTGGCGTTGGCAGGAGCCCGAGCTAAGCTCGAGGCGAGTTTCTCGCCCGGGACTGGCGAAGATGAAGAGTGCGAAGACGATCGCCTGCAGATTGCGCTCGCAGAGCTCGTTGCACTCCTCCTTCTCTGCGCCCATCGTCGGGAAGCTTGGAAAGGATGCATTATCCTCTATGCCGGGGACAATCAGAACGTCATCACCTGGGTCCGCTCGCGCCGCTCTGGCCATGCCGGCGCCAGCTTCTTGCTGCTAGTGCTGGGTGCGCTGGAAGTGACCCATGGGTTCCAGATTCGAGGTGAATACGTTCGCACTTACCGGAACACCACTGCCGACCGTCTCACGCGCGAAGAACCCGCCGGAGTTTGTAAGGCCATGGGACTCACCTTGCTCAAAAAGGACCCCGACTGGGATGTCCTTCTGGAGCAGGGATGGTCCAGGCGGGCTCTGGTTTGGGCGGGTCAGCCCCACTCAGACCGAGGAACCGCGGTGCAGCTGGCTCTGCGTGGAACGCACTCCCCGCAGGAGGGGAGACTGCAACTGCCAACGGTCACTCTTTACCTTGTGGGAGAGCATGCGTGGACCCAAGAACGGGTTTGGACAGGACAGGGCGCCCGCGTGGAATGGCTCCGCGATGGAGATACACCTGAACCTGCTCAGGCGGGCACTTGCGTTATCCTGGGGGGAGCCTTGAACGCACGCAAGGAGGTTGATTTGCTCAGGGCCGCAGAGTCTGCTTTGCGCCCACACGCCGCCTTCATCGACCTGCTCCACGACGCCCTCGGTAAGAAGACTACGTGTGGGGCCAACCACGAACTCACCTACCGCCAAGGGGTCGCTTATGGCCGAGCGCTGGGTGATCGCGCGTGGTGGAAGCGAGGTCTTGTCTTGGGCTTAAGGGAGGACTCCGCACCGGGCGCCCCTGAAAAATTGAGCATTGCCTTCAATGCCCTCTCCGCCGCGCCCGAGACCATCCCAGCCTTCGACCCCGTTTGGGCAAATCGTGAGCCCACCACCTGGATAGAAGGGGGCACGTTGAAGGTCGACCCCACCTTCCCCCTGGGACCTCATAAGCCTAAACCTTTGGGGGAGCTTCGGGGTGGTTCGAGTAGTCGCGCTAGAGCTTGTCTTTTCAACTGCACGCCCCCTTCCGGGCTTGCATCAAGGTTCCTGGGAAGCCCGACACCCCGACCGTTTGGTTTTGCTAGGTAAGGGTACCAGTCCTAGGGTTTTAGAACCCGGTGAGGCGGTTCGCCTCCAGGGAGGCAAAGACCCTGAAGTCCCCCTTGACCCTAACGCCGCCAGCACCCTTGCCACCTCGTACCTTAGAGCCACCCCCCTTGCCCTTGCCGCCTGGTCCGTAACCTGGCCCACGTCGTGCTTAGGCACAAGTAGCTGTAGCGAAGGTTCAGGTAGCCTTGTAGGGGAGGGGTGCGCTCACGGGGGTAGGGGAGCGCCGCCAGCCGGAGAAGAGGCAGCGCTGCCTCTTCCGGGGGGGAGCAGGTTCCCGTGGCTCGTTTCGAGCCCGGGACTAACCCTCCCGACCTGGAAAGAGGCGAGGACGCCTCACTCGCTCCAGAGAGGGCAGGCGCGTGCAGCCTGCCGTGGGAGAGCCACTGCAGGCTGAAAACAGCCGCTTGAGCATGAGCAACCGCCGGGCCGGAGGACGGCCGCGCGAGTCCTCGCGTGAAAGGACGCCGAGAGAAGAGCGCTCCGGGAGGAACCGCGAACCCGCCGGGCACCCAGAGAGCCCAATGTTGCTTAATTAAGTTTGGCGCTTATTTAAGCAATGTGTATTTAAGAAAGGTTTGAAAATTTAAGCAAGACACACCTTGCTTAATTAAGGCGCAAAAAACATTGTTTAAATTATGGTGTCGCAATGACACCGGTCATATACATGCACCATGTACACATATACACCACCACAACACCACCACAACACCACCACAACAACACCACAACAACACCACCGACACCACCACAACACACCACCACAACACCACGACACCACCACAACACACCACCACCACACACACACCACCACCACACACCACCACCACCACCACCACACACCACCACACACCACCACAACACACCACCACCACACACCACCACACACCACCACAACACACCACCACAACACCAACACAACACCAACACAACACCACCACAACACCACCGACACCACCCACACCACCACAACACCACCAACACCACCAACACCACCACAACACCACCAACACCACCACAACACCCAGCTGGCTCTCCCAGCCACCCTCCCACCAACCAACCAACGAACCAACCACCCACCCACTCACCTTCCCGCACACATGCACAAAATGGAAACAGTAAATGCATGCACCATGAAAATCTATCTAACCAACCCGTAACACAATATCCTCTACCTACAAAAACTTGCAAGCCTCGATCCCCAGCACAGATTTCTCGATCTTTCACTGCCCCACGAGAGGGATTGGATTCTTGGCATAGAACATCTGTAGCACAAGGTGAGACACGGCGCTGGCGGTGTTTTTCCCTCCTCGCCGAGACCCTATATGGGCCAGGCTTCCTCCAAAATCTTCGTCTCTATAAACCCAATGGAGGCTCGGAGAGTCTAAGCTCTCTTCACAAAGATGCAAAAATAAGTGCATCTTAGGCTTGAAACGCCACACCGATTGATCTGGATAAATGGTAGCCAAGCTAGCATACAGTAGCAAAAACCTTCGGCATGCACCAGCCAGCTTGTCCCTATCAAACTGAGCAACACTGAGACAGGAGTAGCACTCTTGGAGATAACGGCCTGCATCAATTGCAGCTCGATGCTCAGCAGTCCCCTGAGTGAGGAACTTTGCACAAGCATCAGAAATCCAAGGGATGAGCCCCCGGGCTTCACCGGCCTTGCACCTCAACTTTGGGCTGGCGGCACTATTCTTTTTGACCATTCCAGCAGTGAGGTGGTCAAGCCTGGACTCGGTACCATTTCTTTTGTAAAAATCTTGCACATGCCTGAACAGTTCAGCCAGCTTCTGCTTCTCGTTTCCCGGTATCTCCTTAAGGATCGTATGCATGAGGCATCCCAAGTAATCAGCAGCCACGCCCTGATCACAACAATGAAGCCAGTCTATGGCAAAAATGTCTGTTCGGAAGCATGGAGCTCCGAACAAAGGTGGGCATGATCCTTCTGTTGCATATATGTTAGCGACAAGTTGCCAGTGTGTTAGTGGTGATTGTCGCCATGGGGCAGAGCTGCTGGTATCCATGAAATTATCTTTGTTGGCAGAGCACCGGTAGCAGCAGCTCACTCGCTCCGCCCACCCAGGGAGGCGAAAAGCTGACTTAAAGGCAGACCAATCCCCGCGAACTTCGACTAGCAAAGCTTTTTGCAAGGTCTTCCCTGCGAGCTTGGCTCTCTTACCAGTCAGTTCTTCTCCATCTGGACCGTGGCTAGGGTAGACACCTTCGGCAAGGCACGTGAGCGACCATGTAAGCACTCGCATAATCCCGTCAAGACTGGAATTCTTCACCATGTGCCCTTTGTAAAGTGCTGTTAAAGGAATTCGCATAGAAGCCCAAGCCCCCCCGACATGAGGAAAATTCATCGTCACGACCTCGAGTGATTCTGACCTGTCGTACTTCACCGGTATGCCATCGTGCCATATGCCAATGGGAATAATGCGATCGTTTTCACCAAATCCCAACTCTTTGGATGCATTCGCCAAGTGCTGCTTGCAAGCTGCCCTTAAGTTGTCTAGTTTCCAGAAGTGATCGTCGTGACTGTTCCATATGCTGATGGCATTCACTAGCTCGTGCGGCAACATAACTTCGATCTTGCCCATTTCCGCCTCCTGAGTTGCCCTATTGAGAAGTGGCACAGTCGCCTGGAACATACCCGGCCACTTCTTGTCCTTCTTGAGTTTTCGCAAAAGATCGCGATGAGCGTGACTGCTGTCTGCTACTTTAGCTAGCTCAACAGTTTCTCTAGGGTCGTGAGTTAAACTGTCCGAATACAAGGAACGTGCTCTTTTGGCACTCACTGCCCCTGTCAATAACAAATCGGCGACATTATCCCTGAGCCGTCGCCCATCGTCCGTGCTGGAACCATGCACCGAATTCTTCGACAGCATGCGAGCTGTCCATCCACCTATAGATCCTACAATAAAAGACCTTATAGATTATTCGATTGTTCGCCATACAACATGTAGCCATTGCCTTAACTTCAAAGTTTGATCCCGGTGGTGCTTAGTGTATATAAGTCTAAGTTAATGTCAAGCTAGGATACCGATACACCTCAATCAAAAGCTCGAGCAAACATCCCCACGGGAGTTGCATGTGCATGGATGAAATGCATGCACATGCATGCGAAGTGGCGGCTGCTGCATCTCTTACAACAGCGGCCCGATTTTTCGGAGCTGAAAGTACCTGTCATCGGATCTGGCCATGGGTCCTGCAAGCGAGCTCGAAGTTGCAACATATAGTCAGCTTTATTGGCCCAGATATAAAAACCAGATGCTTCCACCGTATGTATATATATATATATATATATATATATATTATATAAACCACAAAAGCCCCTAAACCCCACAAAACCCTGAAGCCTCAAACCTCAACAGTAAATGTAAATCACAAAAAACCCGAAACCCCAAACCACAGTAACACTTAGGACTTAGGACATCGTGTTCATGTGCATGCAGTCAGTGCTCCTTTGGGCATTGTTGGTCGGCAGGAAGTATACCTCCAGCGATATAGCGGAGGATGGTTGGGGTAATTTGTATACTAGTGCACATAAAGCATCCATGCCACAATCGATTTCTTTCATGGCGCCTGTCTCGGGCGAAGAAACAAAACCCCTCTGCGATCAGAGCTTGCCGTGGCAGACTTGCATGCAATGACAGCACTTACATGTGTTATTCAAAACTCACTGCAAGCAATTGTGCACGACAGGTATGCAAACATGTGCATGATCGATCTACATGGCTGACGACCTTCGGTCAACATGTAAACACTTAGAGGAAAGCTTTCATACCGCGATTCATCTGCTTGACCCCCTCCTGGTGAATCAACATCTGCTCACCGAACGTGGTCCATTCGACTAAGGCTTTGGTGCACTCGTCTTGATCACTTGGTGTAACCTTGGACACTGCAGCATATGCTTTCCGAAGCTGCAACAAGTAATTGTGCAGCACACCCATCTTGGCCTCATAGTCGTCTACGAGTTTTTCGAAGCCCGGCTTCCCGTTGACTGCCACAGCGAACTCACAGAGGGTATCCTTCAGGGCGGTTTCCTCTCTGTCGAGCTTTGCTTTCGCCGTCCAAACTGGCTTGACCTTGGCCATGAGCTCCACGTGCCAGGGGTTCTCGAGCTTGATGTTCGGATCGGAAGGCTTGCTCGTGATCATCTTCTTGGCCGCTTCCATCTTGAAACCCTCAGCCTTCACAGTCATCGACTGCGACTTTGTGTCCACCTCTTTCTCCTTCAGCGGATCAAGGTACTCGTAATAGTACTTCTTCATGGCCGGGATCTTGTGGTCCTGGACAAGGTCGGGATCCTTTGTGGGATCGGTCTTAAGCCGAGCCCATAGGGCATCCAAGAGCTCTTTGAGGCACTCCTGCTTGGCAGCCTCATCCATACCATCGGTATCGATGCCTTCGAGCTCGAGGATCTGTTTGCGGGTCCGCATGCCTTTCGTTGTGCACCTCTCTGTGACACTGTCGTGCTTGTCGCTCTCGAGATAGGTCGCGGCCCAAGAGAGGTCCTTCGGACCGTGTTCGGAGTACTGCCGGGCCATTTGGCGCTTCCCGTCGCTGTCCATGGTGCTGTACATCTGCAACACAGGGCAGCATACAAATGTAAATCAAGAAGGGCTTGCAACCAGCTAGCTTTACACCCTTAATTTATGGACCCCGTACCTCCAAGAGTTTCTGAGCCGTGGTGGCTTGGTCGCGGTTTTGCCCTTGGCTGATTTTATATTTCATTGCGGTGACGAAGCCACTGAGCTGTTGCCGATCTGGGTCGGCTGTTGCCTTCGCCTTTGGGCTCGCCTGGGCTTTGTTCTTGGCCGCGACCTTGGCCGAGAACTTGTTCGCCGGCTTGCTTTTGGCCGCTGTGACCTTAGCCTTCGGATCGGGTTTTTTGCCCATGATGGATGCTCCGGGTCTACACAAAAATTGCCGAAGGCAGCCAAAATAGCTAGGTATGCATGCATGCAATGGAGTGCAGCTATGATGTGGTGCATCCCCAGGGGATGCACCATCTACTTCGACCTAGCACAAGACATCCCTAGGACATGCATGGGTGTGACATAATGCAACCCGACGGGATGCAGCACAGCACTGCACAATACTCAGAATCCTCAAAGGATTCCGAGTCAACCTCCAGCGGGCCTAGAGCAGAAGGCGAAGCAACGACCTTAGGAGTGCATCGGGGCTTCAGTCGGGAAGCTTCGGCCGGGCAGGGTGTTAAAAAAAACTTTTTTTTTAACATTTCTTTAACGGCTGTTTTGCTTTAAATTAAAAGGAGAAGGGGCGTTAAAAAAATGTTAAAAAAAAGTTTTTTTTAACAGCCTTTGTTGGGTTGCTGTTGGGCTGGGTTCGGAATCCTAGGTTGCTAATACCTCCCCAGGGGAGGCAATTGCTACGAAGCAGTCCCTCCTCAGAGGAGGGCCGTTCGGTATAGGGTCCGGAATGCACACGAACATGCGCAACAAACTCGCTACATCCATCAGCACAAGTGCCTATGCTGTTCCCACATGCACTGTCTGGCTGCCCTACACAAGTGATGAATGAGCGGCTTCAGGGCCCGGCCCAACCAGACCAGAAGCATCTAAGTCCTGCAAGCAAGTGTTGCTATACCCAGGAGGGTTTGAAGGCTGGGGTGTTAAATTATAGTTGTTTGCGGTTTCGGGGCTGAGGGAGGAGGCTTTTCGGGTTCAGGGCACCGGTTGCCGGGTATTGGGGTTCGGGGTTTAAGGGCCGGGTTGGAATGTTTTGGGATCGGCAGTTTGGGCCGTTGTTCGTGGCTGTTTTTTCCTATTGGTTGCAAGTAGGGATTTTTTAGGGAAAACCAGCTCTTGCAACATAATGCTTGCATGTTGGGTTTGTTCGGGAAAACCAATTTCGTGCGACTTGATTGCCACCACAAAAGCCACGAGCCCCGAACGAAATGCCCGAACCCTAAACCCCTAAACCCAAACCCTAAACCCCGAAGCCCCGAACCCCACACCCCAGCATTCGATAACCATTTTGTCGCAAAGAGGCAAGCGGCGACTATGGTACCGGCCAATGCATGCTTCCAGCTGTATACATGTGTGTATATACATATGTAGATGTTCATGTGTATAATTACACTAGGCCAGCAGCTGTCCAAGGAGGCGGGCCCACGGGTGGTCTAAGCCTATATAGGATAAGTGTATCCCTGGATGTGTACATGGCACCGGGCCTAGGCCTAAGAGCCTGAGGGCTGAATTTAATGTGTATGTAGGTATATATTATATACATACATCTTCTATTCTGAATAACCCTAAGGCCCGAAGCTTATTCCTATGAAGTGCTGTATATACATGGACCCCTACCCTCCACGACTGGAGCTGCTCGGTGCATGCTTTGGCCTCGCTTCAAAGCGAGCATCCCGGCCCAGCGGATGGGGCTCAGCACCGACCCACTGGCCGGTTTTTCTTAAATACTTGAACCTCTTGAACATCTCTTCTCTCCTCTTCCTTCCTTTATTTTTTCCTCCTGCCCTCACCACCATCTCCCAAATCTCCCAATCCTCAGCGGTCCAGCCCTGCTGCTCATCGAGGTCCACGTCCTCATCCGGGGCTCGAGGCCTGGCTTTGGGCCTCGAGCCTCGGACACTGCCCTCCTCCTCCTTCATCTCCTCTTCTTTTTCCTTCCCTTCCTCCTCCAATACCACCATCTCCTCTTCTTTTTCTCCTTCCTCCTCCAATACCACCACCTCCATCTCTTCTTCTTTTTCTCCTTCCTCCTCCAATACCACCTCCTCCATCTCTTCTTCTTTTTGGCATCCTTCCTCCTCCAATACCACCTCCTCCATCTTCTTCTTCTCTTCCTCTTTTTCCTCCAACTCCGATGCCACCTCCTCCGATGAAGAGCTGGTGCTAGAGCCTCCCGAGGCACTGGCATCGGTGGCCCATCCCAGCCGAGCCGGCGAACTCGAGAGGCTCAAGCACCTCATCTGCCACCTCTGATCCCTCCACCGCCTCCAGCTCGTCGAGCTCGATCGAGATCGATCCCTCGCCAGCTCCTCCGCCTGCAGCCTAAAAAACTCCTCCACCTCCTCGCTGCCAGGCGACGGCGGCTCTGCCGCCTTCTCCAGCTCCTCCCACCACAGCTCATCATCCGAAGCCATCTCGAGAGGAAAAGCCTAGAGCCTAAATCCTATTATGTATTGTGGCCCAGCAGAGCCGCGGTTTGATCTAAAGTCGCCTAGCGGTTAAAGCGCCTAGCCTAATGCTTCTAAGGTCAAGGTACCCAAAGGTCCGAAGGTGTATAAATATGTATATACATTAAACTTATATAGCAATTGTTGTAAGTATACATATAACACATATTATCTTGGGGTCCAGCGACAGAACCGAGCTCCGGCACAGTGGGTTTACACAATCTACGACATTAAAGACTTATAGGCTTGTGTATAAGGGTTACAGGGCTACATAATTTATTGGGTTGAGGCTCAAACCCTGAAGTTTCATGGGGGCAGCTCAAAGTGATGTCCGGGATACTTGATCATCGATGGGCACAACTGATCTTATAACAATGCTAGCTGCTGTAACAGCTTGAGATCTCGTACCAACAAGCATCAAAGCATTGCATGGGTTCACATCTGGGTCGACGGCACTAAACAATCCTACGTGCATGCATGCACAACCGGCCAGTCCTCGATGCATCCATTGACGAGCCCTGCACCACTGCCCAAGAGTACCTGGAGCCATTGCTTATCTATATTTAATTCCTAAACTCCTCAGAGGAGTTCGCCAATGCAGTTCACGGCGCTTTTTGCAGAGAGAGGCCGGGAGAGAGAGCTCGAGAGAGAGAGATCTCGAGAGAGAGATTTGGATGAACAAAACCATGTACACTGGCTGTATTATATATATATATATATATATATTCGATCATATATAGCTAATGTTCGTATACTACTATATATGATCCGGAGCTGCATGAATATTCAAACTTCAGCCGGTCTAGGTTCAGGGTTTCAGTGGGATTGCTTGTAAACCCGAGTCCTTATTGTCAGGTGAACCTGCAGGGCTTCAAGGTTTAGGATGGTTTATAATAGGCTTTTAGGGCTGGGTGCTATTGACACGACTAACTATAGTTCCATATACCCCGGCTCGAAGGATCGCTAATAAATGAAGCCCTGAAGTGCAAGCAGGTAAGAGCGGGCAGGGCTAGGGTCACTGCAGATCGATCCTTATACCTCGGTGCACCGCAGCGAATTAAGTTTAGCCTCCCCATGGGAGGCGGACTATATCGACTGAGTTCCTCGCAGCCAGTTAATTAAGTCGGCAATGCTGACCAGGGTCTGCAGGGACAGAGCTAGCAATCATGAAAATATAGAAAGCTCAGAAAACATCATGCATGCATGATCCCGCCTCACACCTGTCCCTTGGCCCAGCTCTCCACGACAGCAGGGGTCTGCCTTTCTTCCCGCATCTTTGCCACGGATTGCCAACCAATCTTTCTCAATGCCTCTTCGGACATGTCACAGCGGCGGCCGCCGAAAGAAAACACTTGCTTTTCGAACTTCGTTCCATCGAACTTCACAATGATCCGGACTCCGATCTTGTTGTCTTTCTTATAGTACATGCACGTGTAGAGGGCATCCTCCGGCACCGGGACCTCGGGGTCGTACTGATATCCTGCCTGCTCATCACCCTCGCTGGGTACAACAGCATCAGGAGCAACTTCTGGAGCATCATGATCATCATGTGGAGGGTCTTCTGCTGCAGCCGGTCTTCTCGCAACAACCTTGGCCTTGCCCTTCGCCTTCGCCTTGCCCGCCTTGCTCTTCGCCTTCGCCTTGCTCTTCGCCTTGCTCTTCGGTTTCCTTTTGATCTGCTTGGGCCTCAGGTTGGCACCATGCATGACCAAATTGGGGACCTCTGTCTCGAAGGGATCTTCATTTTCGAACTTGGCCAAAAGGAACCCCTTCGGACCTTCCTCCATCTTGGCCGCAATCTTCTTGCCTCTGATCGTTCGCACCATCGCGAGCATGCTACCATCCCAGAACTGCAACGGATTCGGAGCAGCATCGGCGGGCCCACCCTCGATAACCTTGCCACCTTCGCCGACATCGCCCTCAATCTCCTCACAGGAGCTGTCGATTATCTCAGCATCCACATCCAAAGCAGTTTCAGCTCCACCTTTGGAGCTGCTGCTAGGGTTGGAGGTGGGCGGGAGGCCATACAAGCTTCGAAGCATTTCGTTGCTCATACCTTGGCTGCTGGGGCTGCCAGTGTGCTGCTTCTTCTCGGCCTGGTTGCTGTCAAGGTCAACAGGAAGGTGCTTGCTTTTGCTTCGCTTTCGCTTCGCGATCGTGCTGGCATCCGACGGGGCAGGCTTCAAGGCTCGCTTGGGCTTACTCTCCTCACGGGCTTTTGAACCAAAAATGTTCTTGCTGATCTGCTGGATGATCCTTCGAACCGCTGGAGGCTGTCTCGCACAGGTGCTTACCTGGAGCCGCTTACTGTAGCAGTAACTGACAGCTTTCGCCACCCTCTCTGCCCACGTCTCAGCTTCTGACCCCTTGACCTGCTCCCACGACTTAACAGCTGCAGCCTGCAGCAAAGTCTTGGTCGGTCGAGGTGTCCTTAAGAGGACATCGGAAATCAACTCCTCATAGGCCGAAACGATCATCGAGGGCTCGTGGTCTAGATACTTCTTATCCAGACCATTGGGTAGGTGGGCCCGCAGTACCTTCACCAGGTCTTCCGGCTTGGCCGAGTTCGACCGCCTTGAGGTCGACATGTTGGGATATCTACCAAGCCAAAACAGCTATATGATCTGCGTGCTGCACATCGACAACATACATGCTTCGACTTGAAAAAGACTCTGCGAGAACACAAGCTCGAAGAAAACACACAGTGCCAAACACATGCCTTAAATTTAAGCGAAAACACACCTTAATTAAGCTATGTTTCTTTTCCAGGAAAACATGTCTTAATTAAGCAACACTTTCTTAAATTGCGGTGCGCCTTGCTTAATTAAGCTGTAACATTGCTTATTTTAAGCATGGTTCCTGTTATTTAAGCAGTATACAGCTTAACTAAGCAATAAACGCTTCAATAAGCAATGTTCAAATAAGCTCGAATTGCTTAATTAAGCATCTGTTTCTTAATTAAGCAACATTGGGCTCTCTGGGCAGCGGTCTCGGCTCTACGACGACGGCAAGAAGCTCACGGCGTTCCTCCGGCACACGGCCCCAGTCGACGTCAACGGCTACATAGCCGTGGAAGAGCTGCTTCGGTTCAGGAGGTTCGAGGGCTGGACCTCCGTCAGGGTGAGAGAGGCGGTAGCGGCCTCCAACAAGAACCGGTTCAACCTAAGGACGTCGCAAGGTGTCGAGCAGGTCGCTGCCTGGTCGGGGCACACCATACGAGGTGTGCTGGGGCCAGCCCAACACGTCGAGGCGGGTTCCCTGCCCGGCGTCCTGGTGCATGGAACCTACAGCAGCTACGTGCCGAGCATCCAAGCGGAAGGCTTGGTACCGACGCGGAGGTCGATTCACTTGCTGGATCCCAAGCACCCTCACCGCAAGTGGCGGCCCGACCTTGAGGTAGCCATTTTGATCGACGCTTGCAAGGCGCAGGCTGAGAATCACGTGTCCTTTAGGCTCACTGGGAATGGGATCTACCTGGCCGACCATGCTCTGCCATCCGAGCTGTTTCTTGCCATTCTACCTTGGAGCGAGTTCGAAGCGAGCCTCGCCCCAGGGTCAGGGTTTGACTGGGCAGAGCATGCTGGAGGTGGATCCACGTCTCCGGCGCCGGGGGCTACCGCTAGAAACCCTTCCCCGCGGCGCGTTTCCTAAAGGCCTTCCCTCGCCTTCGGCTGAGGTCGTCACCTCGGCCCCGGGCTTTCCTCAGCAGCGGGCTGCGGGCCCGCCGCCACAACGGCGGGAGCTTGAGCGTGCGTTTAACTTCCACTGCTTCCTGTGTGGGTACACCAACCTGAACCCAGTGGAAATGGCCTCCCACCTGGGAAGCTGGAGCCACTTGAGGCAAGCTGAAGCCCTCAGGTCTCTAGCCAAAGCTCCCCCGGGAGCCCCGAGCGGGCGCCGGTTCCAGCTTTCCACCTGCTAGGCCAGCCGGGCCAGCGAGCTTCCCGCCCGCCAGGGACCCCACGCGGAGCAGCTTCCCACCGGCAAGGGACCCGACTAAGAGCAGCTTTCCGCCGGCCCGAAGCTCGGCGCCTAGTCACTCACAGCCTGTGGTGCTGACGCCAGCTCCGGCCCAAGCCTCAGAGGAACCCTCGAGCGGGTCACGAGACCCAGCGCCTCTTCCGGAAGAGGCAATGGTCACCACCGACCACGAGACCGCTGCAGAGGCCATCGAGGTCAGTGAGGACGAAGCAGGTCTCCCGCTGAATGCCGAGACGGCCACCCCGGGCCCCGTCGAGAGCCTGGCTGCCGTCGCTAAGGCGCTTGACCCGGTCACCGCCAGCCAGGGGACTACTACGGTTTTTGTAAAGCTAGCGACCTTTGAGGTCCTTCAATCGGCGGGCGACGATGAACCGGATTGGTCCGCGGACGAGGAAGAGCCGGTCATCGTCCAAGCGATCCCGGCGGGCGAAGACCAGACTGAGGCAGGCCACCGGGAGGATGAGGCTTCTCCGCGGCGCGTTTCGCGCCCGGAGCTTGCTTCTTCCTCAAGTGCGCGAGCCGCTTCTGTCTCGCGCGCCGGAGAGGCTGGAGAGCTGACGAGCCGGACGGCCACTCGAACGCGTTCGGAGTCTCCGAAGGTCCGCTTTGGAACGGCACACCTCCAGCTGATCCGGGAAATCGCCCAGGCCGACTCCGCGAACTTCAAGAGCCTTAAGAAGGTCGTCGAAGGGAGCAATGTGTCGGCCCTGACTAAGAGCCAAACCCTGGACCGCCTGGAGCAGCTAGCTTACCAGCGTGGGGTGGCCTCGCTCGAGGGGAAGATACGGGCTATCGACGTCCAACGAGACGTCGCCCAGCGAGCCCGTACAGAGGCGGCGTACTTGGAGTCCCTCACTCCCGAAATGAGGGCCTTGGAACAGAACAACTCAGTGCGACCTTCCGCCGGTGCCTCGAAAACCTCAGATGCGCGGATGCAACAGGCCATTGCAGCAGGGGGGTCCGTCTGGGTCGAGCGCCGCAAACAAAAAGGCCGCGAACGGGCCGCTCGACACAGAGAGGCTCAAGCGGCGCAGGCGGCTGAAGAAAGGGCGGCGGTCACAAGCGTGATCGCGGACTTGCCAGTCGACCAAAGAGGGCCAGCCCTAGATGCCGAAATGGACAGGCGGGCCCGCGAGGAACTCACTGAGTTTCGACGAATGCTTCGCGAAGAAGCGAGAGCGGCTCGGCCCCACGACCCGAAGCCCAGGCAGAAAGACTCCAAACGCCGAGCCGCGCTCAAATGGCAAAGATGGCGCCAGAGGCGCTCTACCGATGACATGGACCGCGATACCAACCATGCTATCGCGCACCTGGCCGACCGGGGTGAAGAAGGCCCTGCCCCCGCGGCGCGTTTCGCGCCCGGGGAAGACCCGGTGGACTGCGCCATGCATCGGGGCGACGGCGACACCCGCAGCTGTCCTAGTGCTGCTGGACGTGGGGACGGGCATTTCGGCCGCTGCGCCGACGCTGCCGGCTTAAGGGAAGCCTGGGACCCCTGGGGAGCCCCCTCCTCGTGGACCGCTACCCGCTGCTCACTCTTGTCGTCGCGGCCCCTCATAAGGGCTGTGGCAACCTGGGGCCGCCTGTTAATCCTGCAGAGCTTGCTTCTCGGTGTGGAGGCTCAAGGCCGTTCAGGAGCCGTGGCACGTTTCGTGCCCGGCTACGAAGAAGCCTATTACACCTGCCTCTGCATCGTTTTATGCATTCTCGCAGGGCTTAGCACTTGGGGTGTGGCGACGATCTAGCCCGCGCGACCCCACCGGGCCCCGGAGCCTGGGGTCTTCAGGGACCACAAGCACGACGAGTACAGACCGTGCGGATGCGGACCCCTGGGAAGGCTTCCGCAGCATTGCGGAATGGAACCAGCGCGCCGCGACTACGGAAGCCCCTACGGGTCCTGCAGGGGGGCAGAGCGCCGCGCCAACTGGAAGTGGAGCCTCTTCTTCCACCTCACCACCAGGCGTGCCCCCGAAAGCACCACCGCCAACCCAAGCTTGGCTGGCGAACCTTCGCCTCCTGGGAACCCCGCGGCTCGTACCGAGCCCAGGGCACCTCAGTTGCAACCTGCCCCCGCGCCAGGAGGGGGAGAAGACGAGCTCCCCCCTCCCCCTGCGATTGTAGTTACTTCTCAAGGTTCGGTGTGGCATTATCGCAACTGCCCCCGGGTACGTGGACGTGAAGTCCATGCTATCGCTGCTTGCCGAGACTGTAACCCCGGGGTCGATCCCACTGGATTCGAAGCTACCCCCAGGGGCAGGGCATGGCACCGGCGTACGTGTGGCCACATCACGGGTCGCGGTACCCGGATGCTGGAACGGTGCCAACTCTGCCACGCCCAACTTCTGCGACGCCACCCGGGAACTGCCCGGCGTCGTCGGCCGCCTCCGGGCACCGACGATGCGGTGCGCGATACCAACCACGCCATCGCGCATCCCTTAAAGGATGCCGAGGCCCGAGAGCGCTTCGGGGTATGGGCTTTGAGCCTCTCCCTCGTCGTTTGCGTTTTCTCCCTCGGGGTCTGCCTGTTCCTCCTTTGTTCTGGGCCCGGGAAGTCGGAAGAAAGCCTGGACTTTGCAGGGAGACCTGGGTTCCCCCCTCGCCGGGTCGGAGGCACTCCCGTGGCTCGCTTCGAGCCCGGGGAAAGTAGCTCTCACACCCCCTTAGGGAATGCAGGGAAGCGGGTCCGCTTTGCTGAGGAGGAACCAGAGGTGCTCTCTCCGTCAGCGGACCGACCGCGGGTCCCTTCGTCGGAGCGCAAGCGGGTCAAAGCAGCCCCGCCGCCAGCGTCGGAGATGCGCAAGCGGCCTGGCTTAGTGCAGGTCCCGCACTTGCAGGGACCCGCGGGCGCTAAGGCACGATGGCCAGCCGCTACGGTCCTGCAGTTCGGGGCAATAGGGCAGGACGATTGGGGGGCCACCGCACTGCGCTACATAAAAGCCAGATTAGCGACCTCCACTCAGCGCCTCTATGCGTCCCATTGGACCTGGTGGGCTCTGTTTTGCTCAAGGCGAGGGATATCCCCGTATAGGCATGTCCCGTGTTACAACGAAACCGAGGAATCGTTATTTCTCGATTTTATTCTGCATACGTCGCTCAATGGCCTCCGATCCCACGGCACCATTAAGATGAGGTTGGCAGCGATCAGGTCAGAACATCTGACGGTCGGCTTGCCCAACCCCCTCGCACAGTTTCCTCGAATCCCACTGGTGCTCGATGGGATAAAGCGTAAGTACCCAGCGCTGGAGAGGCGACACCCAGTTACGCCTACCATGCTCCTAGCGGCAGTTAAGCTGCTGCAGCACGAAAAAGATGGGCCAGTGATCGTGCTGGCGCTTTTCTTGGGCTTCTTTTTTCTCCTTAGAGCCTCAGAGCTTATAGGAGACGCCTGGCATGGACAGACTCGGGGACTTCGGGGCTGCGACGTGGTTTTGCTCCGTGGCGGGAAACCCTGCCCGGAGAAGGAGCTCCACTTGGCCGATGAGCTGAGAATTTTTATTCAGAGCTCGAAAACCGACATTTACAACGCGGGCGCCTCGCGGAATCATTTTGCCACCGGCCAGGAGCTTTGCCCTGTTCGGGCCGGTCAAAGTGTTCCAGCTCTACCCACAGAGATACTCTGGGGGCACAGAGCAGGATGAGCACCTTCTCCGAGGGGAAAAGGGAGATCTCCTCACTAGGCAATTTTTGCAGCTAGTGCTGCAACAATGTGCTGAACATGTGGGCGAAGCTCCTGCGCTCATTAAGGTGCACTCCTTGCGCTTTGGGGGCGCGAGCGCCCTCTGGTCTAGATACCAGAATGCTGAACTCATCAAGAGGTACGGAAGGTGGACGTCGAACGCCTACCAATCCTACCTCTGGGAGTCGCGTGAATCTGCGCGAGGGGTCGCTGAGAGTATGGCGCTAGCAGACCTAACCCCCAGCTAGCCAGGCACTTTGTGTATCTCGGCTACGGCCGCGGCGCGTTTCGCGCCCGGCTCGCGGGGGTCTGGGTCTCATTTTGTGCGCTCGCTTTCGGCCTCTCCGTTTTCTTTCGTTAAGGTTCCTTTTAAGAACCTCCCTCCCGAGGCGAGCTTCTCGCCCGGGCTTCCCTTGGGGGGGGGCTTTTTTCTCCTTTGCAGTGGGGGGTGGTGCAGCGAAGCTGCAAGGACGACTTCGTTCGTCGCGCGCTGCTAAAAAAGGTGTGAGTGCTTCGGAAGTGTAGGAAACTCCTATATACCCTATATGAGGCTTTAAGAATACCATCTGGAATACTTTACAGAATGTATTATAAACGCCCTATGGATGATACTCCCTTTATACCTTATACATGCCCTTGAGAACCCCCTTTGGGATACCCGACAAACGCCGCACAGACCAGGATTTACGTAGAATAAATCAGAAGGAGCCCAAGCTTCTTGCAGCTTATTGAGCAACGGACATTTATGCCTGTAGAATACCTTACAGAATACTCTTTTTACAAACCGTACAGAAATTCATGTAGAATACCGTACTACCTTATATAATGTTCCTATATTCCCTATACACCTTGCACACCCAAGATCTGAGAGTTCCCCAGTTGAATGTGGTTTGTTTAGCAATGGATTCATATCAAGGAATTGCGGAATATAGGATCTAGAAATTCCTTGAAAATCGATGCTTGTTTAGCAAAGGATACATACAGAGAACAGAGCTCTTCTGAAACACATGCTGCACATACCCTATAGAATGCCTTTTAAACTACCTTTTCCACCGATTTACCCTACATACACCTTATATAATACCATCTGTAATACCCCGTTGAATACTTTGAACAAGAGCGCCTCTACTTGATACATCCTGTGTACCCTATGTATGCCATATAGACTATTTGTACAGTACCATTTAGATTACCTTTTGAAATCCATTATCGAAAATCCTAACAGTACCTTATAGATACGGGTTTTAAATATGGAAAGCCAGCCGGAGCCCAAGATCTGATAATTTCTAGTTGACTTGCAACTTTTGGGTAAAGGGTTCCTATGAAGAAATCAGGAACCAGGAAAACTATCCTTACAACTGCCTTATAAAATACACTCTCTATGCACCTTAATAAATTTCATAAAACATACACTATAGAATACCTTCCTACATATAGGCCGCAGAATGCCTTGTGTACAATACTTTATGGAGTACCCTCTACAATACCTTATAGAATGCCCTATAGAATACCATCCTTACAGAAGACCGCCTATGAAATATATCTTTTGTATACCCCACATATGCCTCATAGAATATCCTTCAGAATACCATTTAAGATACCGTTTACAATAGCTTCTAACATACCCTATAGATCACGGTTCAAACAAGGAACATCAGGAGGAGCGCGCCGTTAAATAGCGTAGCATACAGAGGACAGTAGACAATACTTCATGGTATTGTTTTGGCTCGAACGGTGTGGTGTCGTCGTAGACAGCGAAGACTACGCAGTATATTGCAGTTTAGTTCGGAGTGGATTCGTAACATTGTCTAGACAGTACAAGAAGAGGCTTCGAGGTAGGTCCTGGGAGGGGGGGGGTAGCATATATATATCTATATATATATATATTCTCGTACATGTACACATAAGCAAATATACGTATACAAGTATAAACGTATATTCATATAATCATATATACCCATGTACGTATATGCGTTTAGACATATATACATAGGTACATTATGTATGTGCATACACACATATATACATATCTATACATGTATGCAGATCTACATATAGACATTTTTAGAATTACATATACACATATATACATATACACATATATACATATACACACATATGCATATATATATATATATGTACATATAGACATACGTACATATACACGTATATACATGTATACATATATACATATATACATATATGCACATATGCATAGATACATGTATACATGTATCTTCATATACATAGATACATATATACACATACGCATATGCCCGCATATACATTTTAACATGTATGCGTTTTCATATGTACATACATACATATATACTTTCAGTCGTATACATACAAACATATGTACATATAAACATATGTACATATATACATATATATATATATATATATAATACATATATACATATGTTTATGTATACATATGTGCATACTTACATATACACATATATTTTTGCATTTATGCATGTATGCACACATGTGTACATATGTTTGTGCATATGCATGTTTGCAAATGTATATACACACATATATACATATAATATACACAGGAAAGAACCATGCAACTGATAAGCCAATTGCATATACGTATACATATATTTTATGCATAGTGACATGACCATATATGCGTGCATGTCCGTACGCTCGTATGAAAGCATCCACACGTGCGTGACGTCTTGTCAGAAGTTGTCGAAAAAATGACAGTCGATTCCTGATGGTGTGTTCGTTGTCAACTGTTTGGACACCCCGACAGGACTTCTGGTCTGTGCAGAGCTTCGCATAGTTCTGTCGTTTGGCCGGGGGGATGTCAATCAACGTCGTTGTCTGGACGCCACTAAGCTGTTGGGGAATTCGACAAGAAGCGTTAGCTGTGTCCATTTTCAAGATTCAAGATGCACACAGACAGCGCATGCGATGGCTTGGCGTCACTGGCCCCATTGCGCAGCCTCGTGGACTTTTCGAAAGGCGTTTTTTTCCGCCAACCCCACCGGGTACTTCCCGGTTATATCTCACAGTTTGCATGCTTACCGTCAGTTCCAAGTTTGAGACGTGCCG